GGGAGGTATATGTGGCAGGTATTTCTGACTCATCTTGCATTTTTTCTTCTGTTTTTTTTTTCTCCTTCTTCCTCTTTTTTTCTACTTCTTTTTCTTATTCTGCTTCTTTTTTCTCCCCCTCTCTCTTCTTCTTCTTCTTCTTCTTTTTTCTTCTCCTCCTATTTTTCTCATTGTTTCGCTTCTTTTGTCTTCCCTTTCTTTTTATTATTCTTCTCCTTCTTTATTTTTCTTCTTCATCTTCTTTTTTCTTCGTCTGCTCTTTTTTCGTATTTCTTCTTCTTTTTTTCTTCTTTTTACTTCTTTTTTCTCTCTTTCTTCTCGTTTTTCTTCTTCTTCTCCTTTTTCTTCTTCTCCTACTCCCTTTTCGTCTGCTTCTTCTCTTTCTTCTTTTTTCTTCTCCTTCTTTTTCTTCTTTGGCTTTTTCTTCTTTTTTCTCCTCCTCCTCCTTTTCCTTTTACTTCTTCTTCTCCTCCTCCTCCTCTTTCGTCTGCTTCTTCTCTTTCTTTCCTTCTTTTTTTCTTCTCCTTTTCTTTTTTTCTTTCCTCCTCCTTTTCTTTTTTTTCCTCCTCCTCCTCCTCCTTCTTCGTTTTTCTTTTGCTTTTCTTTTCTTCTCCTCCTCCTCTTTTCTTTTTTCTCCTTTTTTTTCTTTTTTTTTTTTTCTTCTTTTTTCTTTTTCTTTTTTCTTTTTCTTCTTTATTCCCCTCCTTTTTTTTATTTCTTGTTTTTTTTTTCTCTTCTTTTTTTTCTCCTTTTTCTTTTTCTCATTCTTCTTCTTCTTTTTTCTCCTTCTTCTTCTTTTTTTTCTTCTTCTGCTTCTTCTTCTGTTTTCTTCTTCTTCTTCTTTCTTCTCCTTTTCTTTTTCTTTTTTTTTTCGTTCTTTTTCCTCTATCTTTTTCTTCTATTTCCTCGTTTTCTTTTCTTTTTTCTTTCTCTTCTTTTTCTTTTTTTTTCTTCTTCATCTTCTTTTTTTTCCTTCTTTTTTCTTTTTTTTTTTTTTTTCTTCTTTTCTTTTTCTTCTCGTTTTTTTTTCTTTTTTTTCTCCTTCTTTTTTTTTTCTTCTTTCTTTCTTCTTCTTCTTTTTCTTTTATTTTCTTCCTCCTTTTTTTTTTCTTCTTCTTATTTTCTTTCTTCTTTACTTTTTTTCTTTATTCTTTTCTTTTCTTCTTCTTCTCCTTTTTTTTTTTTTCTTTTCTTCTTCTTTTTCTACTTTTTTTTCCTCTTTATTCTTCTTCTTCTTTTTTCCTCCTCCTTCATTTTTCTTTTTTCTTTTCTTCTTCTTTTCTTTTTTTTTTTTTCTCCTTCTCCTCCTTCTTTTTTTTTTTTCTGCTTCTTCTTTTTTTTTCTTTTTTCTTCTTCTCTTTTTTACTTTTTTTTCGTTCTTTTTCTCCTTTTCTTCAATTTTTCTCTTTTTCTTCTCTTTCTTTTTTTGCTTCTTTTGTCTTCCCCTTCTTTTTATTCTTCTTCTCCTTCTTTATTTTTCTACTTCATCTTCTTTTTCTTCTCTTCTCTTTACTTCTTTTTTCCTCTCCTTCTCTCCTCCTTCTTCTTCTCTTTTTTCTTCTTTTGCTTCTTCTTCTTCTTCTCTTTCTTCTTCTTTTGCTTCTTCTTCTTCTCTTTCTTCTTTTTCTTCTTCTTCTTTTTTCTTTTTCTTCTTTTTCTTTTTTTCTTATCCCTTCTCCTTCTTTTAATACTATTTTTCTTCTACTTCTTTTTAGCTTCTCAGTATCATTCGGTGCAAAATGTAGCCCACGTTTGTTGAACTTTCTTCTCTTTCTTCTTTTTTTTTCATTTTTTCTCCTTCTTGTTCTTCTTCATTTTCTTCTTTTTACTTCTTCCTTTTTTTCTATTTCTTTCTTTCTTCTTCTTTACACCTCATCTACGGGGCCACATTCTCAACTCGCTACGTGTTGCTGCCGTGGTTTTCTTAGCAGGTAGATTTTTGGGGGTTTTTTTTTTTGGTTTTTTTTTTTCTCAAGAGGGAGTCGCTAACCCTTTGCCCAACTAAGTTGTCAGAACACATTTCAAATGACATAAAACAAGTGGAATCCTGGTTTGGGCTATGGCTGCTGCTGATGTTATTCATTAAAGAAGGAGTCAAAATGAATAATACTGTTTACTTCCAAATGTTGGTGAGAGAGATCTGTTATCCAGGTTGTCCACCAAATTTGAAAGTCATTATGTCTTCACTCAAAACAAAGCTCTCGCAGACAAGGCCAGTTTGACACAGAGTTGGTACAAGAGACATTTCCGTCGATTTTTTCGCAACTCTATCAAACCCTTGTATTAATGTTATGGACTTAGCGATATGGTCCATATTAAAGAGAGGTGTTTTTCCCGTATCTCAGACCGGAAAGAACCTCTAAAGATATCATCAGAGTCGGCATGTACTACTCCCTAACCCCCACAACCGGGTGGAGCTTGATTGTAACCATCGTTATCTTATCAATATTTTTTTCTCTTTTTTTTTACCTACGTTTATATACGTTGTAAATGAAATTAAGTACAGCTGATTGGTAAAGGATTAAACATTTTCGCGGATTTTGATGTCATCCTGGGATGTTTTTTTTTTCCCGCCCAAATCCGTGAACTTACACTATTTACATTATTCGGACCATTGTCCTCATCTTTGTCGCCATATTTATTTCAACGTTTCGGTCGTTGTACGCTCCGGCCTTCTTCAGGTGGTTGGAATGTCGAACTGAACCCTTTATTTCGCTCATTAGGGTATGTTTAATGTATGTCAGTTATTAGTCATCTCCTGTTAATTCCCCTCTGAAAGTTCTCCACTGCCTTAACCGGGTATTGAACTCATATCCTGTCACTGGATTTAACTAACGCCTTTATACATTGTGCCATGTGTTCTTGAGTGACATGACCCAAAGATTGTGAGTTCAATACCCGGTTATGGCATACACGCTTAGGCAATCATGTACCTTTAGATACCTGACTGAGGAGGCAGATTTTTCCTGTAGTAGGTTGCCATTTCTTTCTGCGGTAGACCAGTTGCCATCCCGGTCTGTCCTGCTATTTATCCATACCTGGGGGAAGGAGGGAGGATTCATACCTTTTCCCTTAGATAAACTAGAACGTAATACATTTGTGTATTAACAAACAAACATATATATAAACATATATATATATATATATATATATATATATATATATATATATAAAATTTGATTTAAAATAGGGTTTTTCCGCTACAAAGTTCTAACCATGTTTCAAAAATGGAATCTAAAAGCTTTGAATTTAATTTTGTAATTAAATTAAAAGACATTAGTTCCATTTCATCCTCAAGCAATTTTGGAGTAACTTTATTACTGGGTTTTAAAAAGCACAGCAAAATTCTTAATTCACGTTTCTAAGGATACAGAGAAATCCATTCATCCAGACAAGGGGTGTTTGCAAGTTCATTATTGCTGTATTTTGATGTATCCATTATTAGTTACGTTTTGGTAGGGGTAGGGATGTATTTTTCAATGAATTCTGACATCCGTTAAATGCATGTCGTCTGGATTTTTTTTAAATTTATTGTTAACGACAAAAATTCTTACGCCATTTTTTCTATTTGTATATTTAAAGATTTTTGGGTGGTGTTTAGGTTAGAATACGTTTTATTTAACTACGATTTTTTAAAAATTCACTTAATTTTTAATATACTCTATTTCTTTTTAAAACAAGTAAATGTATTAGAATCCCTTACAGTATGTAGAGTTATTTTCACATCAAGTATAAGTATGTACATTGCTAGGTCACAATTTTTTTTTTATAAATTTATATTTAAATATTATTTAAGTAAAATTTTTGACAATGACGGCAAAAATAGCTAATTAATTTCTCTGATTTAGTAAACTTTTATTTTTTATATATTTTATATAAATCCAGTAATATATAGTTTCTCATGTATGTACAAAGGACATGGGTCATTCAATGGCCTACATCTAGCTTTTCATCATAATTTCATTTTACTGTAGGTGCTTTATTGGATTTATTTAAGTATCGGTAGTACTTTGAGAGAGGTGTTTAGGTTAGAATACGTTTTATTTAACTACAGTTTTAAAAGATGTTTAGTTTAGAATTCGTTTTAACTACAATTTTAAATACAACTTTAAAATATTTTCACTGTCATTTTAATAGACTATTTTTTTAACAAGTAAATGTAATAGAATTACTTACAGTATATAAAATTATTTTTTCACATTAAATATAAGTATGTATATTACCTGGTCGCACTTTTTAAATTTATTTTTATTTTTAAATATTATTTAAGGAAATTTTTTGACAATGACGGTATAAAATAGCTTTCATTTCACTGATTCAGTAAATTTTTAATTTTTATAAACTTAGTAATATATAGTTTCTCATGTATGCACAAAGGACATGGGTCATTTAATGACCTACATATTCTAGCTTTTCTTATTAACTTCCATTTTACTGTAGGTGTTTTATTTGATTCTTTTAGGTGCCAGAAGTATTTTTATATTTATTTATCCTAAATGAACTTTGATGTTGGTTGAATTTTTTTTTTTTTTGAACTCATGGCTAGTGCAACCTATATATACTTTTATGTTTTCAGGATTTTCAATCGAAGAGATATTGCATTGGTATACTAATGGTTCTGGGCGACATTTATTTTGTAGAGGACAATTATGAGGGTTTCTACAGTTACATAATTTTTGTTTATTTTCATCAGTTTTTATTTTTATTTTCCATTGTCTAAATTTTTTTGGTTTTTGGTATAAGTGTTTATTTAAGATATTAGCATTATATTTCTTAATAATTTTTCTAAGTTTTCCGTACAGCTGTAACTCAATTTTAGTGTGTTTTATTGAAAATAGTACTTAGTTTACTTTCTCTAGGAAAATGCTTGACTATTAATGCGAGGGATTTTTGTCCTAATTTGTTCTTTACCATTTGGTTGTATGGAGACGTATACCAAAGTATTTTTCTACATCTGTTTTTTCTATGCTTTCCATTTTCATTTTTTATATAAGTTAGTT